AAATCAATGCGAATTCAACGCATCTAACTGAAAGTACTGCATTTTCTGTACCCGACGAACATTGTATAAATATCGTATAGAAAAGTGTTACGTTAACGGGGTGTAGTAGCAACTTTTCCGAGCAAAACATTCGACATTATGACGCTAAACCGTTAAACGCATGTCTACTTAGCCGGTAAAATCGATACTACGAGAATAGAATTTGTTTCGGAAGAATAAGTAATCCTCTCTGCGATTAAATAGACGCAAAATAGAATCTACAAGCTACTACTCGCATCGGAACGGAGATTGAAACATGCCCTGGTAAATTTTCGAAAATAATTTCGAAAACACCGAACAAAATAGATTTTCTTAACAGAGGATTCTGAATTTGACGTTTCTTACCCGTTTCTATGTTTCTCGACTTTTCTTTTATTACTTTTCATTGAAAATACTCATCGTTAGTATATCATTTACGATTGTAACTAAAAATTATTAAACTATATAGACAGACATAAGCGCACACGTGCAGGTGGGATGTAGGTTCGAGAAGCGTGCGCATATTATGATACGTCACGCAGGAACGGTAACAGATCGATGAAAAAGAAATCAAGATTTTTCTTGTAAACGCCGAGAGACGATACAGTCTTTTCTCACCTACCCCTTCTCCCTGCTATTATTATTTTCAAAATATTCGAAAGTTGACATCATCGTGTTCGTTCGTTACATGTTTTTCGACTTGCAAGTAGATTTCGATCGGCTCGAATGCAATGACAAACGAGGTAAGCGTAGAAAGAACTTTTCTTTCCTTTTACCGTTCAGTTTAACTATTGGCCAAGTTGAAAAGAAACAACCGAATGTTGCTAGGAGAAAGCAGGAAAGATAAGTGGGAAGTAATTGGTGATAGAAGAGTGGCAAAATAGCGGGCAAAACGATATGCAATGAGAAGCGATGACCAATTACGAAAATTGTCAAACAGGGATGGAAAGCGCGGTGTAGGGGCGAGTATCGACTGGCAGTTACCAAGAGAATCGAGTCGCGTTCGCAAAGGGATCTTGTCTTCGATTCGAATGTTAGATTTAAGTAGGTAGGAGCCAGAACTGGCTATCGTTTACCGTCTTTAGATTCCAGGCTGGTCTACCAGTAGGACAGCTGGAAATATTGACTGAAAGATAGTAGCAGAGTGGAGTATGTCTTTCGCTTATCAGCTTCGAGGTGGTTCGATCGATTTTGAATTAGTTATTGCAGTGGTGATTGGCAGTAAGTGCTATCGAGGTATACGCGTGTAATCGTTTCATTGTACCGACGAAAAATCGACGATTCTTTCGGAGTAGTGGATTGTTCGTCGTTGAGCAGTGGCAGGATTTACGAAAACGTGGATCATCGATGAAAAGATAGGCTATAGGTTATAGAGGCTTCGATAAACGCTCACTGAGAACAGCAATTAATCACGTTTTCATTTAGCACGGAAATAGAATGTTATTTTTTTCTTATTAATTTATTGTACTTACTTCAATTTTAATATTAACAGTAAGTAGTAGCAGTACTAGCACCAGCAGCAGCACTTTGTGTTTTTCAATTAGAGTTGTGAAATTGATTGTCATGTTTTATTCGGTTCCATGATAAAAGGTCTTCAAAGGTCAAATGCGGAGCGAAGTAAAAGAAGCAGGGACGGGGCGAGGAAACAACAGGAAAAACCGAATGGAAGCGAGCGAGTTGTATAGGAGAAGAACTGAGAATAACAAGTAATTATCTGGGGGAAACTGGACAAAAAAGAAAATTTTTAGACAAAGGATAATGCAAAATTCCCTAGATTGTTACGCCGACATAAAAATATTTTCGGGACGGACGCTTTATAAAGTCAATATCTGATTTATAAAAAATGACACTTTTTTTCTTTGTTATTTAAGAAGAACATGCAGCAATTCTAGGGAAAAATTCAAGGAAAAACTCCGATTAGCCCTCTACCAAACCCGGACTAAACAGAGGGATTAAATCGGAACTCAATCTATACTAAATTTCTACTAAATCCGGACTGCATTGAATTGAATTTTTAACTTTTCTTCAAATTCTCAGTATTTCGAATTTCCAATCGGAACTTTACCAGCTACCAGCTTATCAACTATCCCAAGGGTGTCTAAACCGGTGTCCACGTGCAGTCTAGTGACACTCTCCACCTGAAAAGTTACTCCTCTTCCGAGCGACTGTTACCTGTTGTATCCAACATCTCATAGACCTGCGCACCTATTCAGTTTCAGAGGAGAAAACCCAGCCGGTCGGAAACTTATGGCCGGCCGGTAAGCTGCCGGTCTATAAGAAATTTCATGCATATACCATTATGTAATATTGAGAGAAAAAAATAAAAAATAAAAAATAAAACGTTTCTTACTTATTTGTATCTATTACACAGACCCATGGAAAAATCATTATATTTGTAAAGAACACTTGCCAAATGATTAATGTAAAATAAAATACTTTGCGCCGTCGAACGTCGAAATCACCCCATTGGGCACATTAGGAATCTGTAAAAACGGTTGCAGTTTGGTAGGGGCAACAGAATTTTTACTCGCGGCAGTAGCGCCATCTAGCGGCCAGGCATTCTCGCAGGTTTTCCCTATACCTGTAATGTGCCAGACAAGGACGGACATACTGTGCGACAAGGACAGACAATAGCTTTCACGAGACACCTCCTTGGAAAAGCATCTCATTGATTCCTGGTACGTACTCGCGAAGCATCAGGACCAAGGAGGTATCCGAAAGCGCGCCATCTATCGGCGACAACGAACAACTAAAATGCGACATGTCGATAGAGCAGAAAACTATGAAATCAGCAGCTAATTCATTATCAACTATGCTATTACGAATAAATTGTTTACCTTTGCAATTTACGATTGCAGAATGAACCTTCCCCTACCTTCCTGTTTCGCAGCGGAAGAGATTTTGTGTCGCGTTAATTATTTCTTAATTATTATCCGAGACGATGTCAGAAGGAAATGTAGAATTCCTTGATACAAGAATGGTTAACAATCAATATCTTCATTTAATAGCGACCAATTTTGAAGAACTATGTTCGTAGAAATTAGGCCATAATTTAGAGAATATTGAGTAAAATGTTGAGCCACATTCGAGGAATAATTAATAAGATATTACCGATTACCTGGTGGGTTCGCTGTGTCGGTAGGAATGAGGATTGGAGGCGCTATCTAGCGGCTGAAAATTTTCAAAGCTTCTCCCTATACCTGTAATGTGCAAGACAAGGACATAAATACTGTGCGACAAGGACAGAGATTCACTTTCACGTGATACCTCCTTGAAAAAGCATCTCATCGGATCCTGGTACGCACGCGCGAAGCATCAGGACTAAGGAGGTATCCGAAAGTCCGCCATCTAACGGCAACAGTTGAGAACTAAAAGAGTTATATCGATAGAGAAGAAAACTACGTAATCAGTCGGTAAGTCATGATCAACAAAACTACTACGAATAAATTGTTTACCTTTGTAATTTGAGATTCTGGAATGGACATTCCCTTAGTTTCTAATGCAAACACTGATGTAATTTTGTATTCCGTTAATTATTTCTTAATTATATCCCGCGAAGACGTCAGAAGATAAAGTAGAATTATTTACAGGGGCCCAGCAAAGAATGAAGTTGTTGACATAATACGCTTAAATTGTTAACATATATGATTGTAGCATTTAGAGTAAACTGTCCAGAATAATGAGTAAAATTGTGAAGAACATGCGAATAGTAATGAATAACCAATTATCCTGTGAGTTTGGTGCGTCGGTAAGAATGTTGATTGGTGTTGGCATCTATCGACCGATACTTGGAAGTAATTGTGCATAAGTTTGGGCGTTCTCCCGATAGATGGGTCCACACATTGTGACGGAATTGAGTGCACCTTTCCGAAAATGGCTAATAACTTGTGAATTCCTGCTGGAATGTTGTTGAAACTGCTACAGAATATTCCCTCGGGTGTACCCTAATTTCTGCGATGATGAATATTTATTGTATTATTGTATAGTTGTACGATTTGAAAGAATAAAAGGAATTTTACTTTGACTTTGACTTTTACCTTTACCAAGTCACGTATTTTCATCTTTGCTCAATTCCAGGAATGTAATAATCGTTTGTCCTGTGCGACCTTTATGAGGGATGCTTGGATACCGTGGGTGTTTGGGATAATGCTTGGTAATCGGATTAGAAGACGGCCCGATAAAGTTTGGTGGAATAACCGCAGGTAAGAAAGGCTGTATGGGGTAGCGACTATGAGTGTAAACTTGCTCGTATGAGCGATAAAATGTTTTGGTACTTTTAGTAGCATTTGACCGTGAATGACTGTTGGCGAAGGAGCTGACTCTTTTCTCGTAA